GCCCGGTAGCTCCGTCTGTTAGAGTGTGGTCACGTTACACCAAGGTTGTGGGTTCGATCCCTAGTCAGGGCATGTACAGGAGTCAACCAATGAATGCATGGATCGGTGCAAGGGCAAATTGATGCCTCTCTGTCTCTCAAATCAATAAATACAATTTTTAAATTAAAAATATATATATAGCAGCCTCTATTTCTCATAAACAAGAGCAATTGTTGATCTTTTGTATCTCTGAAGACTTCTATTCATACGCCTGGTCATTTTGTTCACGTAAATCTGTGTTATCACTAGGAAATATGTCAACACTTAAGAAGACTTTATAAGCTCAGCCCCTTATATTAAGATTCGTGGAAGTCATACAGCATTGAGACACACAAGAGACATTTGTTGTTCAGTAAACCGGAGCCATAGTCTTGAACAACTAGAATTAGGTAAGAAATCCACGCAAAGTTGATACTCTCTTCATTTTCCTGGGTGCTGGCCCACGGCCAAGTGTGCAGTACCTCATAGGCATGTAGGCCCCCACATCCCGTTACGTTCTGAAGAGGCTATGACAACTTGGACACATTCAGTCTCACAAGAAACTAAAAACAATGTCACTGAGTTTCTGGTTTCTGATCATCACAGCTACAGCATTCAGATGAAAGACACCGCCACCACCCCCCGCCCCCAACACACACGGGTTTAAGTACTTTTTGAAACCTCCTGGAAAGGACTGAAGAGCCCAAACAACAGTGAGGCATTCCCGGGACAATTTCTGAAGACAGACCTGCAACCAGAGACGTAAGTGGGACGTTTAGACTCTGGAGCACATCTGCCCAAAGCCTTGCTGGTTACTGCCCACTTGGCCTTCTACACAGGGGCCTCATGGGGGGCACAGCTCAATTCCCGTCCATGGTGAAATGTTTTAGGAGACCTCCTCATGTTCAGCTGGGATTCAAAGAGCTACAAGTTCAACATCAAGCCAAAGCTAATCTAAACCTGTCTCTCTTGCCCAACAATGGGGCCTTCTGGCCCCAGATGTCTCAAGAAGATTGGGAATCGGGCCATGAGGCCCAGGTACTCACCACCTGCCTTGGCTAAGGAGTCTCAGATTGCGGGATGGTGCAGAGCAGTTCCCGACTGGAACTGCCCCAGATACCTGACCGAGCAAACCCAAGCCTCTCAGGGGGCGGGAGTACCTGGGCCAGGCCTTGGTTACCCTACACAGGATGTTACAGGGGCAGAGAAGGCGAACAGTCAAAGATTAGCAGGCACAGAAGGAAACACCATTACATCATGAGGTTCAGCAGAACCAACAGAAAGCAGAAACCTATCCGTACTCTCTCAGACATTCACAGATACCAGGGGATAGAACCTCAATGTATCTTTTTGGGGGAAAACACAATTCAACCCACAAATAATATAACGAAAATTGTAGGACTGTAGAGTGTTACTTCCAAGCCAGTAGAAGAAATGAATCGAATAATTATGAATACTGAAGATGAAAAGTAATATTGATACCAAAACTTACAGGAATAGTACAAGAAAGGAAAATTACAGGTTGATCTTTTTTATGAACACAGATTTTTAAAAAATTTATACAGAAGATTAACAAATTAAATTCATAATATAAAAGGGTAACATCTCATTAGTCTTTCATTTTGAGGTTGATGCAACATAATGACAATCAAGTAATATAATTTGGAACAACAGATTAAAAGAGAAAGATCATATTATTATCATCATGACAGACAGAGAGAGCAATTGATAGACATAATAATAATAATAGTAACACCTACCTCCTAGGGCTATTGCGATGATAAAATAAATCTCTGTAAGGCATTTAGAAGAGCACCTGGCACATGGCAAACACTCAGAAAAATGTTATCTATTATCACTATTCATACACTCTAATAGGTATTTCACACACATACACGAAACACATCTAAATGACCAATATATACATTAGAAAGTCCTCGCCCTCATTAGGATTCAGGCAAATACAAAATAAAACCAGAATCGATACTGCTACCCCCATCAGATAGGCAAAAGTCAAGAAGTCTGGCAATGCTATGTGTTGCCTAGTACAGATAGGAACTCTCATAAACTGCTAATGAGTACAACCAATTTTTTTATTTTCGTTTATTAGAGAGGGGAGAGGGAGAAAGAGAAAGGGGCATTGATTTGTTGTTCCACTTAGTTATGCATTCATTGGTCATTTCTTGTATGTGCCCCGACCAGGGATCGAACCCGCAACCTTGGTATAATGGAATGATGCTCTAACCAACTGAGCTACTGGGCCAGGGCCTACCTAGTACAACCATTTTGGAAAGCAGTCTGGTATTAGCTACCAATTTTTTTCACCCTATAATCCAGAAATTCCATTCTTAGATATATACACTACAGAAAAGCATGTTAAACCAACCTAACATTCCAGAAATAAACCCTACTTGGTTGTGGTGTATCATCCTCTTCATTTGCTGCTAAATTCACCTCGCTCATATTTTGTCAAGAGTTTCTGTATCTGTGTTCATGAGGGAAAATATGGTAGTTTTCTTTTTTATGAGGTTATTGTCTGGTTTTGGTAACAGGATAAGAGTAGCCTCACAAAATGAGTTTATTTTTTATTTTATTTAAAAAAAAAGCATGCAGGGTTTTTAGTGGACAGCAAATAGAAATCCATTAGTGAGATCATGGCAATTTGACAGTATTATGATGAAGTTCAATAAAGGTGCGTGGGTGCTTGGAAGGTCAAATTCTACAGCTGCCTCTTTCTGCAGCTCCTAATTCACCTGGCTCCTTAAATGGTAGGGAAGCCCTTGTTTCAGGAGAAATAAGGAGTTATAGGTTGTTCTCTCTTACTAAAAGTTCTTCTCATATCCATTTTCTTTTTCTTTCTGTTTTCAAATAGCTTATTTTAATTCTATTTCTTCCATTACCATTACCCCTGTTATACCCTCGTCCACCTCCACTCCCCACCCTGCCCACCGCCCCTCCACCACCACACTGTTGTCCGTGTCCGTGAGTTCTCACATGAGATGGGTTTGAAAGTGTTGTATCCTGCTGTTTTTAAAAAACCGTTTGTGAAGGATCAATATGATTTCTTTTTTAAATATTTGATCTAATTCACCAGTAAAAAAGTAATCTGGTTCTGCACTTTTCTCTGCGGGTATATTCTAATTCAATTTCTGTAATTTTTTCCTTTTTTCCCTTTTTTAAATTCTATTACAGTGGTCCCAAATTTTCCCCCTTAGCCCTCCTCCATCCAGCCCACCCTCCATTCCCACAGTCCATGCCCACGCCATTGTCCTTGTACTTCTTTAAAAAAAATTGGGGGATACATTGTGTTTAGATAGATATAGTGACAAGTGTTGAAATCTTGTGCTTTCCAAGCAGGCCCCCCCTTTAAAAATTGTGATAAAATATACACAACATAAAATTTATCGTTTTAACCATTTTTAAGTGTGTGCAATTCAGTAGTGTTAAGTGTATTCACATTGTGGTGCAACCAATCTCCTAAAACTGAAACTCTGCCCATAGATGACAGCTGCGGCCGGGGCGGGGGGGGGGGGCGGTGGTGTGGAGAGACTGAGCAAAAAGGAAACGGGACTCATGGACGTGGGTGACAGTGTGGTGATTGTAGGGGGAAGAGGGTATAAGGGGTCTAAATGGTAATCGAAAAAATACAAGAAAGATTAACTTTAAAAAAAAATTTTTAAAGACAACAGTTTGTGGTATGCTTTTGGTCAGTTTCCAGATCACTGAAATGATTGTTTTGGAGTTTCGACCAACCTAGTTGTTTTTTAAGGATGATGTGTGCCAACCTTCTCACTCCATCGTAGCAGAAATTAGAAGTCTAAACACACAACCTCGAGGGAAATAAGGGCTGAGGGGCCCTACAGGGTCATTCCCCTTGTGTCTAGTTCTAAGTTCAGGCTAGACCGAAACACCTGGTCTGGGGAGAGGGATGCTTTGAAGAAATGCAAGTAAATGACTGTCACCTGAGCGAGGACGGTAGTTCCCCCGTCGTTGGGGACAAAGGGGCTGTGGTTGGAAAGGGACACAGAGTACAGGGTTGGCTTCGGGGGGCCGGCACTCTGCTGCATCTTCACTGGGGTGACAGCTGACAGAAGCACACCCCGTAACCATTTCCCAAACAGCCCCTTACACCTATGCGTGCGTGTGTTTATACAGGTGTGCATACGGCATATGCATTATATATAGTTTTATAGGTACACATGTCTATCAAAACTTATCACACACTGCGCCTTCAGTATGTATGGTTTATTACATATAAATTACACCTTAATAAAGCTTTTAAAAATGCCTCAAAGATTAAAAATCTGTATGTCCTACACTCTTTGGAAAATGGGTTTGGCTACCTGTATTCACACCCCATCAAGTGCTGTTTGCACGGCCCAGGTCCTGCACTGGGAGGGACTGTCACTGTCTTGGAAAGTTAGGGAACACATGTTTTCTGGTCATTGCTCCTTTCTTGAAGAACCTATTCCCCTCGTGGGGGATTCTCTCTCCCCTACTGTGGCCGCCTTGACTTACAATAACCCTGGACAAAGGGGGGCCCCATCGTGACTTCGAAAGAGCCAAACGGACTTCCTCTCTCAGAACCCTCTTCGCTGCCGTGGGGCGAGGATGGAGCTGAGCTGGGGGATGCTGCGAAGTGGATGCCCCCAGGGGTTGTTTCAGCAGCAGCCTTACTATTTCTGTGTAGAGGGATGAGACTGGCTGAGATTCTACTACAGCATAGCCTTTTGGAAAAGGGTAAGAAATCTCAACTGCTTAGACTACGAAGAGGGGTCTGCGGGGGGTTTAAAGCTCCCCCTACTCTCCCCTTGAAGTCACCACTGGGAAACTCCTAAAGACATTGCCCATTAGTGCCTGCTACCCAAAGCCCCAGAGTCAATATGGCTTCTCAACCTGCAGATACTGGTTCTTTTGCTGTTTTATTTATGTTTTTTTTCTCCACGAGCCACCCTTTATTAATAAAAGAAATATCCTTTTTGGTTTAACTTGCCCAGAGTTGGCTTCTGTTACTCGCACCATAGAAGGCTGATTCAGTGGGGAGCCGAGCACCAGATGGGACGAGGGACCGTTAAAGCCTCTTCCCACGCTGTGGTCCTAAGATAAGCACAAGTGTAATTAGGCCTCTCTCATCAGAATCGATAGTTATAGATGTGCTGGGAAGACAATACTTGGCTCAGTATCTCAAACAAACATGTTGGCTCTAGACACTTGAAAACAATGACATAAAGTATAATTTGCAGCCCGGGGAATAGTCTTGGGATATATATAGTTCCAGAAATGGTCTCAAAGTATACTGACTCGTGCTATTCAGCAACCTTTGGAAGGAGGCTCTGCCAGAGCACCATCTTTCACGAAGACGGATGTTAACACGCACTAAAACAATGGAGCGAACGTCGGGAGCCAGGAATCCGTGGACATAAAGAGAATAATGAAATCATAAACGTTAATTAGCATCAGGAACAAATGGGGCTCGGGGAAACCTGAAGAATTCTCCAGCAAACCTTAGGTACATCTCTCACCAAAGCAGTAACGATCACGGCCACGCTACACATTAGGTTTTCACTAGTATATTTAGTGGGTCTTCAGAAACCTTATACCTCCTTGGTTAGAATCTCAGTGTACTTTCAATGATGAATATTGAGAAAAGAAAAAAAAACAGAGGTTCTTACTCTGAGTTGGGGTAGGTGAGTGATAAGAGTATAATACTACAGAATTTGGTATGGGAAAAAAGTTTGTATTGATTCATAATCAATCTCCTCTGAAAATTTCTTCTGAAATCTCTCTAGATAGTTTTCCTACAGATAGGAACTGCATTCCATGCCAGACAAAAAGTATCGGTTTGGTTGAACACTGAAACTGACCTCTCAGGTTTTGGGCTTCCAATGGCAAATTAAATCCCAGTTGCCAAGAAAAGGAAATTATGGAAAAATAACCTTGATGCAGAAAATAATTGATGTATCAATCTTTACGCATTTCTGGATCTCCTTACCTTATAATGGTTTTCTTACATTGTGACACAGGCATTAAGAGAACAAAACATATTTGATGGAAATTGTTGGCTTTCCCCTTTGTAAATTATTTAGTAACATTGAGTAGCTAAGTAATTGTCTTGGCTCCTATAAAATCCCCTATGCTAATTGTGGCAAGCAAATGAGTAACAGATTATACAAACCAGGGGAAAGCTCCACTAATATTATGGAATAAAGTGTGCAATCAGATGGCTCAGACTTCGATGTCTTCGCTCTGAATCTCTGTGAAGAATGAAGAAAAAACCCTCTGCACCAAAATTGAAGGGGACCAGGCTTCTGATTGTGTCCTAGGGGATTTGGAGAAAGCTCAAGCAATTTGAAACATCCCCTCAGGTTGTACTGAGCAGAATTCCTGACCTCTGCCACATCCTATCCATCACAAGCCTTTATCAGGAGAAGATGCCAAATCACAAGCCATTTGGTGGCATATAATTGCTTCGACGCTGACAGCACAGGGGACATACATCATCTCCTCTGTTTAAAAGGGAGAGGGCAGTTTAAATGGAAGAAGACAGTATGAAAGCAAATCTCAATAAACGCTAAAGAAATGTAAACCACTACTAAACTGAAAACAATATCCAAATAAAACAAAAGCTTAAATATAGATTGCAGAAAAAAAAGAGGGCTAATGTATGATGTCTAATCACATTCTTTATGGTGTATTAGAAATATTGAAGAATCAAGAGTTGAAAGAAAGAAAAGAATGAAAGAAAGAAAGGGAAGGTGAGAGGAAATACTCAACCTTAGAACCGCTTATGAAAGCAGGGGCCTGGTTTGAGATGCTCTATGAAGTATTGTGGTTGGTTTCATGGATACGGACTTAAATAATGCTGAACCTCACAGGCAGAAAGGTCTTCTGTTCTTAGTCCCAATTCTTTTGCTTACATCAAGAGGAAAGGGTCAGGGCTAGTCTGTCTTCAACTCCTCTTTAACACCTCCCTTTAAAAAGAAAAAAAAAATCAGACCACAGGCTCTGAGCCTTTGGCAGATAATAGCTTCTAGCTCCAACTTAATTATATTGTTTTTATTATATTTATTTTTATGGTTACCTTCCATTTATGGCAAGTGAACTAGCTTCCATTTGTGATTGATCTGCCTATAGTTTGTTTCTTTATTTACATTTTTGAAAACTGAGTCAACTTAAAGATAAACGTTCAATAAATTAAGAGTACTGGGTGAAAAAACAAAGGAAACTGATAGTGGGTCCAATGTGGCTGAACAAAAATCTTACAGAGGGCACTGAAATGATTTTAGTTAAGAAATTACCATCTTGTCCCTGGCTGGCATAGCTCAGTGGATTGAGCGCAGGCTGCAAACCAAAATGTCGCAGGTTCGATTCCCAGTCAGGGCACATGCCTGGGTTGCAGGCCATGACCCCTAGCAGCTGCACATTGATGTTTCTCTCTCTCTCTCTCTTCCTCCCTTCCCTCTCTAAAAATAAATAAAATCTTAAAAAAATTACCATCTTAAAATCCTGGACTGTTGGAGCTCCAGGAGACCAGAGCAGGCAATCCAAACCCCATTTTACCAAGGAGGCAGGGGCCAAGGACCGGAGACAGGGCGCAAAGGACCAGGACCTGACAAATCTGTGATGTCAGGAACAGGCCTTATTCTAAGCTGACTGCCTCTTCCTCCAATGCTTTTCCCGGTTATTTAATGTGTACGTTTCTCCAAAGCTATGTGTTTGACTTGCAAATGTGTCCAGTGTGCAAAGGTGTCAAAATAAAGAGTCAAGGCGCTAAGGAATTGATACTCTTTACTGAAACAGATTAAAACTTGTGCAACTTGTACAACCACAGTGACATCTAGTGGTGTTGTTCAATAGTGCAACCTTTGACACAATCTTTCAGGAAGTTTGTCATAAAAAGCAAACCTCATTTTTTTTTTAATGGTTTGCATCTTTTTTTAAAGATTTTATTTTTATTTATTTTTAGAGAGAGAAAGAGAGAGAGAGAGAGAGAAACATCAATGTGTGGTTGCTGGGGGCCATGGCCTGCAACCCAAGCATGTGCCCTGACTGGGAATCGAACCTGCGACACTTTCATTCACAGCCCGTGCTCAATCCACTGAGCTACGCCAGCCAGGGCCGCAAACCTCATTTTGTACCATATCCCTCAATTTGAGTTTGTCTATTTCTTCATGAAGAGATTTATATTTTAACAGGACTGCCACCCAAGTGAAGTTGTGTCCTTTCTTAGTGCACCATGTCAAGACTCAGGTGATGATGGTTTCTCTCTTTATTGGTGATGTTACTATATTTTTTGGACCACAAGACAGACATAGGTTTTAGAGGAGGAAGATAGGAAAAAAATTTTGAAGCAAAAAATGTGGTAAAATATTTAATAACATAATATTTCGCCAATGTAAATGTAAACAGAACTCAACAGCAGCATTAACAACCATTATTCCTCCCAAATTTGGGGGCGGGGGTGGAGAAAGTGCATCTTATAATCTGAAAAATACAGTATATGTGGACTTTGCAATATCTACCCAGTATTTTGTAAACCTAAAAATGGTAAAATACTGACTAATTTAAAAAAGAAAGAAGTTTTACTATCCATTAATAATTCTTGCCTGGGGAACACTTTGTAAAGTATGTGATTGTTTAACCACTATGCTGCACACCTGAAACTAATATAAAATACTATAAAAACAAAAACAATAAACTTGAAAGATAATTCTTGCCTAAATCAATTATTACAATAATGGTTGCAAAATGATAATTCTCTAATGCTGTCTTTTCTTTCTACATGTTCATTAGTTTTCACTTTACTGAAAAACTTTCCCTATTCTCTTATTTATTAGTATGGACTCCTGAATTCTTGCATCATCTAAAACATATATACATTATGTATACTATACCAAATCCATAATTTACTGCTATTTACTTCTTTTCAAAAATACATAAAAAACGTGGAGACTTCCAGCCAAGATGGAGGTGTAGGTAGATACACTGTGCCTCCTCGCACAACCGAAAGAAGGACAACTTAAAAACAAAAAACAACCAGAACTGACAGAAAATCGAACTGTATGGAAATCCAACAACCAAGGAGTTAAAGAAGAAACATCCATCCAGACTGGTAGGAGGGGCGGAGTCAGGTAGCCCGGTGGCTGGGTGGACAGGACTCTCGGCAAGGCAGTGGCTGGAGGACCAGTCCTCCAGGGCAGGCAAGGCTGCAGCTGACAGACCGGGTGAGGAGACGGCTGGCCAACCAGGCGGTCCCACATTCGAGCACAGATAAACCAGGGGGAACAACTGGAGAGCAGAACGGACCACTCAACCCAGGGCCCCAGCGTGGGGAAATAAAGCCTCAAGCCTCTAACTGCAAACACCTGTGGGGGTTGAGGCGGCAGTGGGAGAGACTCCCAGCTTCACAGGAGAGTCCATTGGAGAGACCCACGGGGTCCTAGAATGGACACAAGCCCACCCACCCGGGAGTCAGCACCAGAAGGGCCCAGTTTGCTTGTGGGAAATGGGGGAAGTAACTGAAAGCTGGCAGAGAGTGGAGCAAGTGCCATTGTTCCCTCTTGGACCCCTCCCCCACAAACAACATCACAATCCAGCCACGTGGGTTGCCCCGCCCTGGTGAATACCTAAGGCTCTGCCCCTCACTACATAACAGGTGTGCCAAGAAAAAAAGTGGCCCAAATGAAAAAAAAAAAACAGTTCAAAGCTCCAGAAAAAATACAACTAAGCAATGAACAGATAGGCAACCTATCAGATGCGCAGTTCAAAACACTGGTTATCTGGATGCTCCAGGAACTCACTGGGTGCTTCAACAGCCTAAAAAAGACCCAGGCAGAAATGAATGCTGCATTATGTGAAATAAAAAAGAATCTACAGGGAACCATCGGTGACTGGAAGGAAACCAGGACTCAGATCAATGGTTTGGAGCAGAAAGAAGAAAGAAACATTCAACCAGAACAAAATGAAGAAACAAGAATTCAAAAAAAGGAAGAGAGGCTTAGGAACCTCCAGGACATCTTTAAACTTTCCAACATCCAAATCGTAGGGGTGCCAGAAGGAGAAGAGGAAGACCAGGAAATTGAAGACTTATTTGAACAAATAATGAAGGAGAACTTCCCCAATCTGGCAAAGGAAGTAGACTTTCAGGAAGTCCAGGAAGCTCAGAGAGTCCCAAAGAAGTTGGACCCAAGCCCTGGCTGGCATAGCTCAGTGGATTGAGCTCGGGCTGGGAACTAAAGTGTCCCAGGTTCGATTCCCAGCCAGGGTACATTCCTGGGTTGCAGGCCATAACCCCCAGCAACCGCACATTGATGTCTGTCTGTCTGTCTGTCTGTCTCTCTCTCTCTCTCCTGCCCTCCCTTCCCTCCCTAAAAATGGATGAATAAAATCTTAAAAAAAAAAGTACAGTATTTAAAAAAATTTAAAAAAAAAAGAAGTTGGACCCAAGGAGGAGCATACCAAGGCACATCATAATTACACTAGACAAGATTAAAGATAAGGAGAGAATCTTAAAAGCAGCGAGAGAAAAGGAGACAGTTCCCTACAAAGGAGTTCCCATTAGACTATCAGCTGATTTCTCAAAAGAAACCTTGCAGGAAAGAAGGAGCTGGAAAAAAGTATTCCAAGTCATGAAAGGCAAGGACCTACATCCAACATTACTCTATTCAGCAAAGCTATCATTTATAATAGGAGGGCAGATACAATGCTTCCCAGATAAGGTCAAGTTAAAGGAGTTCATCATCACCCAGCCCTTATCATATGAAATGTTAAAGGGACTTATCTAAGAAAAGGAAGATAAAAAATATGAACAGTAAAATGACAACAAACCCACAGCTATTAATAACTGAACCTTAAAAAAAAACTAAGCAAACAACTAGAACAGGAACAGAATCACAGAAATGGAGAACACATGGAGGGTTATCAGTGGGGGAGTGGGAGGAGGAGAGGGGGAAAAGGTAGAGAATAAGTAGCATAGATGGTAGGTAGAAAATAGACAGGGGGAGGCTTAGAATAGTATAGGAAATGTAGAAGCCAAAGAACGTATATGTACGACACATGGACATGAACTAAACGGGGGGAATGCAGGTGGGAGGGGGTGTGCAGGGTGGAGGGGAATAAAGGGGGGGGAATGGGACAACTGCAATAGCATAATCAATAAAATATATTTAAAAAATATATCAAAAATGTCATAAAAGTCAGAAATGTGAGAAATGTTCCAGGTTAAGGAGACTAAAGAAATATAACAACTCAACGTCACACATAATCCTGGATTTGGTTCTGCCTGGGATGAGGAGGTAGCAATTGTAAACAGCTAGAAAAGACATTATTGAGATAATTGGTGAAATCTGAAAAATTCTTTGAATTAGATATTGTGTATTAAATAATAAACTTGTACCAATGTTAAATTTTTGGTGTTGATCACTATACTGTGACTATATAAAATAAAAATATTAGAAAATGCACACCAAAATATTTAGGGGTCATGGAGCATTGAATCTGCAGCTTATTCTCAAGTAGTCCAAAAACCAATTGTGTGTATGTGTGTAAGAGATGAGACAGAAAATAAGCAAATGTGGCAAAAGGTTAAAAATTGGCAAATCTGGTGAAGACAACACCGGGGTTCTTTGCACTGTTCTAGCAACTTTTCTGTCAACTTAAAATTATGCCAAAATAAAAGTTACCCCAGAAAAGGTTTTAAGGAATTTTTAAAGTCTCATTTGTTTAAAAAGTGAAATAAAATAAGAGCAAAATAAATAAGTGAATATATACCTAGAGGCTGAGAATTTCCAAGTCTCAGCTAAGTTTCTTTTTCTTTTTTTTTTATTTTTAGAGAGGGAAGGGGGGGAGAGAGAGAGAGAGAGAGAAACATCAATGTGCGGTTGCTGGGGGTTATGGCCTGCAACCCAGGCATGTACCCTGGCTGGGAATCGAACCTGCGATGCTTTGGTTCACAGCCCGAGCTCAATCCACTGAGCTATGCCAGCCAGGGTTCAGCTAAGTTTCTTTTCACTGCAACACAGTTTGAGATAAAGCCCCACTCTTTTCATTAGGGAATTACAATGCTAGTCATGGAAATCTATCATAAATTACTAGTTTCAATTCCCCAGATGTCTGAGGAATTCCTCAAAGGCACACATATTTTTATAAAAGCCCACACGTTCAATATCACATACAAAAGACTTTTATCTGGGTTAGGTTCTGGCATTAAACTCACCCAACCAGCTGTGATTACTCTTAATTTGGAATAGAATAAGCTGTCTCTGAAAAAAAAAATTGCTCTAAACTATAAATCTCTTCATCGTACCAGGAAAAGAACACGGAGTGCTGGTGAGACTGCAGTTAGGGAGACTGACTCGCTGGATGCAGAGGGGAGTTGACGTGAGCCTTGTGCAGAGAGAAAAGTGGCACACGAAATAATCTCCGGTTTTGGCACTAACGGCCATGGACTAGAAGCATCGTTCTGGAACTCCCTAGCTGTGCGTGCAGTGTGTGAGGCTGACTCATTCAACCATCACGAACCTATTTTGAGTGGGTGTTCTAGATCTGGCGCTGGACACGGTGACTGGACTGGAGGTCCTGAGCCAAGCATGGGGTGGTGGGTAGTGTGGAAAGGATAATGTGTTGGGACATCTTCATCTCTTACCTCAGCTGGCCCAGCCTCTCAGGTCTCCAGCATCCACTCTGGCTCTCCTTCCAGTCCGTTTTCCACACGGCACAGTGGCTGCATGAGTCTCCTAAAAGGCAAATCTTCAGCTCAAAGTCCAACCTTCCTAACTTGGTGCACCAGCCCCTTGGTGACCTCGTGGCCTGGTCCCAGAGTCTCTGTAGCCTCCCTCACGAGGCCCGGCCCCACCTCTATCTCCTGCGCTCTCTAAGCCCCGGTGCTTTCCAAGAGGCATGTGCCAGGGCGAACGTGTCCAACACCTCCAAGGTCTAGCAGGGCAGTGGCCTGCCACACATGGCTACTGAGCATTGAAATCCTGCTAATGTGACCGAGAAACTGAATGTTTAGTTTTTGAAATTTTATTTGTTCTACATCATGTGGCTGTCTGAGCCTTAGTTTCTTCACCCATGAGCTAAAATGGTTGAGCTCAAACTAGATAATTTCTTAAGTCCCATTTCGGTCTTAAGTATTACGGTGTGTTCCGCTTGGCCTCTGGTCCAGGCTCATCTTTTTTTAAAGGGATTTGGAGTTGCTGAAATTCCAGCTCTTTTAGAACTAACTGGGGGGGAAAAAAGGTAAATGGTATAGAACAAGGTTTTACTGTAAAGTTACAGGGTGATCCCCGCCCCCATCCTCACATTGGCTCAAGTAACAGGAATTTGAGGCCAGAAGAGGTGGAAACGACAGTGGGCAGAGGAGCCCTGTTGGGGATGGACCCTGTTTCACACCACAGGAGCTCCCTGCCCCGTGAAATGTGGTTGAAATGTAAATAGTCATATGAGGCTGGTGGCTACCATATTGGACGGAGCAGGCACATAAAACCTCTTTAGGTTCCCAACCAGCTATGTCCTCTGTCATCCCTGGGCCTCTGCCCTTGCTGCTGCCTCTCATTGGAAGACCTTTTCTCCATCCGGCATGTCTCCGGGCCCTTGTTGTATGTTTTCATAGGACGGGACATATGCAAAGTCCGTCACCGATAAACTTTCAACCACAAAACTTTCATGGTGCAAGTCAGGCTCTATTTCAGAGCCCTAGCACATTAGTTATGCCCTTTGCTTTCCACAGACAGACATGCAAGGTGTTTTTCCTCTTTGCCCTTGGCTGTTCATTAGTCTGGTGGGTGGAAGGCATCGTTGGTTGGCCACGATTCATCCCATTAATGTGTTTTGTTTGGCTTTCACAAAGTTTCAAAACTGGAGCCAACACACTAAATGGAAGAGGACTCATTAAAAATAGGGATCCCTGGATGCTCTGGGACATCTGGCCACCCTGGACCCATGTTCACTTTTGCTCAGCAGTCATCAGCTAGACTTGTTTTGAGATGGTGGTCCTAGCTGCATGTGGCTCTTTAAAGTAACAAAAAATTAAGTAAAATTTACAATGCAGCTCCTCCATCTCAGTAGCCACATTTCAAATGCTCAGTAGCCACATGTAACTTGTGGCCACCATGCCGGGCAGGGCAGATACAGACAGAGCTCTCCTGTCATCACGAGATGTTCACTAGCACTGCATTCTCTAGAGGGCTGCTGGGGAGGGCTGCCCCCCAAAGACAAGGCCGGCGCTCCTCGGGTCTCGGCGGTCCCCTGCCGGCCCACTCAGCCCTTGACATTACCTGCCTGCCCTCCACAGACATTGGAATTTGAGAACCTGGTCTATCATATCCTTTCGGGTTTCTACTTAAGTTTGCAGTATTTTGAAAAACCCTACTAACCCTATCCTGTCGTGAGGGTACAGTACGAAAGGAGTAGGAGCTGGGAGTGGTCTGAAAAGTGAGTATGAAAGAAGGGATAGTGAACTTGGAGAGTGAGGGGGGCTGTGGATGTGGATGTGGGTGTGGGTGTGGCCAGTGCTCCCTTGGTGGGGACTGCACGAGCAGGAAGCAAACCGTGGCTGGAAAGTGCTGTGCACGCGTAATCAACGCTCAGCAGCAGAAGGGCAAAGGCAACTGTCACGTGACCTGCAGGGGTCATAGGTAACGTAAATGACCGCGTCCCAGGAGGGCCTGGTGAACTAGGCGTTGGAGGTGAGGTAGATGCCCGTTTAAGGGGCAGGAGCCCCTGGCTCCGGTTGAGGAGCACAGTGGGAATGATCTGATTCCCAGAGAACTCGGGAATCCAGATTTTCAGTGTGAAATCTCTCCATCCTAGTTCATGTCTTTTCGAAGCGCTGTCCAAGCCAAACAAAACAAGTTTGCTGGTTCCAGCCAGGCCCCCGGGGCAGGTTTGCCAAGTCTGAGCCCATCCTGGCAGTGGTAGCAGAGGTCAGCTCGCCTGAGGCGGATTCAAGAGAAGACTGGGTGTTGAGAATGGAAAGGGTCAGGGTGGGGCAACCGCTGCTACCCAGGGACACTGGCTGCCCAGGTCCCAGCCCATCAGCTCTGCAGAGCATCAACATGACAGAGTGGCAGAGCACTGATCCCTCGGGCACTGTGACTGCCAGACTTTGGTGAACAGGAATCCCTTAAAAAGCTCTCCAAAATCCCGGTGTCCTCGTCTCACCCAGCCCGGGGGATTCCACTGTGCAGTCAAGTTCGAGAACCACTACGCTAGGGGGCCCCGATTCCAAGAACCTGTCTCCACAGTGTCGACAAAGCTGGGTCTGGGTGGAAAAAATATGCTTCATAGAAAGCAAGAAGAGACTTTCCATTTTAAATATTGACTGTTTGTTCCGTTGGTGGAAAATGAATCCGGGGGCGACGAGCTTAGACGCCTCCCTAGTCACTTTGGACTTAAGAACGATGGACTTCCCAAAAGCACACAGACAAGTAGAGATGTCAGGGTCCCTATGGAGGACCTCATCAGGCTTCCTTCTCTATTTAACTGTGTGTCGTCCGAATGCCAGGGCAGGGAGCGTGCCTGGCACTGAGCCCATGCCTGGTGTCTGGGAGCTACGTACAAATGTGTTGATCAGAGGCCGTGGGGACACAGGGAAGGCTAGCTGGTTGGGGCTGAGAGGAGATGGGGTGGGGACAGGGATAACGGTTGAGGCTATTTCTACACTTCACGTAGCACGGAAGGCACGTCCGTTGTCCATGTCAAAGAACAGAACCGGGGCCTGAGGGAGACCACCTGCGGTGGCTACTGAACAACTGGAACCTGCAAAGGACCCCGCACAGAGACGTCTACAGGAAGTGGCCCCTGAAGTGCCTTTCCTACCACCTCCACCAATCTTAAGAATAAAAAATTATGAAGAACATGTGCCTGTGTATCCGTACATACTCATGGCATGATTAAGTAGACTCGGAAGCCAAACTTCCTGGGTCCTTATACTTCCACTTTGGACTCGGAGCAAATCATTGAATGCCTCTCTGCCTCAGTTTCTCATCTGGAAAATGGGGGTGATAATACCTACCTCAACAGGCGAGTGAGTGTAAGTTGTTCTGTGTAAAGGGATTGAAAGAGTGCCTGGCATGAGGCAAGGGTTAGCTATCCCTTTGTTGAAGATGGCAGAAAAAAAAGGATGCGTTGCTTAACTGGACGGATGTGGGAGAAACACTGACTGAGTTCTGTTTGTGAGAACACAGGGTTACAGGGCCTTGGGATCGAACTGCAAGAGAAAGGGAGGGGAGGCAGTCCACTAGCTCTGACTGGTTAGCTCTGCAAACACACGACGACGGGAGAGTCAACAAGGACGGGGCGATTCGGGGAGAATGATTTCACACACGCTGACCCCCGACCCCCATGTCAGGGGTGGTGGCTGCTGGGGACCCTGCAAGTCTGTGTCTCCTAAATGGTGTGTTATTAATTCTACCTTCATATTGGATTCTGAAAGCATCCCGCTGCTAGATCTCCGAAGGTGTGTTTCCACAATTCTATGGTTAATTCTGTGTGCTTGTCGGGGGAGGAAAAAAAAATGACAATGTTTTACCTTCCAACGTAAATAGTTTCAGACATTTCCGGGTGGCTAATCAACCACGATGGCTGGCCGACAGGGGCAGACTTCGCACGTGCACGTGCACTGATGTGCCCGCCGGGCTTTCCGCTCCGCTGCAGAAGCCCTGGGAGCTGTGAGACCCGCGGCAGTTCAACCACGGACCTTCCTCCGAGGCCGCCGTCTTCCTGTGTCTCTCTCTTCTCTAAAAACCTCCTTCCGTAAAAGCGGTGCCTCCCAAAGCCAGGAACCCCCTCTCTCCAGAAGAGCAGGAACATTTACTCTGGGTCAAAGCTTCTCACATGTCCACAGGGTCAGAATCATCTGCAAAATTTGTAAAAAGGTAAGAGGCTCAGTCTCCACCAAAAACCCACCCAATCAGAATCCGCAGGGCGGGGCCCAGGCATCTGTGTGTTTGACAAGCTTCCCACCTGTTTCCATGCCCATCGCAGATGGGGCAACAGGAACACTGGCCTCAGGTCATGCAACAGTTCGGTGATACCAGAGTGTTAAATTCTAACAGATCGAAATTGAGAACAGGTTCCAATGAAACACTAGGTCACTTATAAAAACAAAACAAAACTGAACTACTGTAATTAGAGAAAAAGGAAAATGTACAGATTCTACACTTTCCCACATGAACATCAGATTTACCCACAATGCTTCAGGTTCTGTTTTTCACTTTGATCCACACAGGATATTTGCGCTATAGTTTCACTAAATGAGAAGCCATACTTGCCCAGTCTTCACAGCATCTCCTAGGGAAACAGAGGAGTGTGATGGTAACAGATCTTCCAGAGCAGGTCGTGGTGGGGAGGGGATGGGAGCGAATGAGGAACGAGCCCACTCAGCCCACCTCAGCTCCGGCCCACTGTTGCCAGGCAGGAATGACTAACCTCACACGGCCTGCTCCTCCAATTTTCTGAGAAGAGTGCAAAACTGAGTTTGTATTTATAGGCTTGCAGTTTTTAAAGTAGTGAGCAACCAGTTCAGATGATTTTGAAAACATCGCTTTGAAGTGCACCATGGAGGCCAAGCCTTAAAACAAAGCAAAATCTGCCAGCCCAGATTTCACCTGGATGGCCCAGATTGGGAATCTGTTCTAGAAGCTCAGAGTTCTGTATCTGGATTCAGTTAGACAATCAGAAGCCAATCCCAGAAATGACTTCACCTAGATGGCACCTAGCAATATGCTCTGTGCCTCTAGAACGAACAAGATTCTCTGCCTTTTTCGAACTGTTGGGTTTATCCGAGGAACTAGGTTCATTTGTTCCCTCAGTGGATATTTAAGGGGGCTGCCACCCCGTGCCAGGTCCTGGGAACCCAGTGTAAGCCAAACCTGAGTTCAGTGTCACTATTTGCTCAGCACATGAAAATACATACGAGTTTCATCACTCAGTCAGTGGTAGCTGGGCAACATCCTGAGCAGAGCGATACCTTAGGATCACAAGGGCTGACCAAGGATCACACAGCTTGAAGGGGAGTAAAACTGACAGCCCACAGCTCCTGCCTTTGGTCAAAGCTCCTCCCCCTCGGCCTGTGTTTCCCTCAGTCCAACAGGGCTGATGAAAGGCTTGTCAAGGAAACTTAGCAGGCGCGACACACTGCTCAGAAGTTCCTTCAGTCTGGCAAGTTCTCGTTTGCAAAGTAAGAGAATGTTCCATCTAGAATTGGCTCAGGATTGCTTCCACATCCCTAAAGCCTGTCTTCCCAGCAAGTCCGACGTCCCATCTTAGAATACATAAAACAAAAAGCAAAGCAAGGGGTTGCTTGTACCTATTAAGAACAGAAAGAAAAATTAAGGGTCAAACAGCCCAACATTCATCAAAATAGATTGGCGAAAGAACATGCACATTAGTGTTGGGGAAAGCAAAGATAAGGAAGAGGATGCCAGAGGCGTACGTAGTTAGTGGCAGGGTTTGCTCCGAGTTCCCTGGGAATGTCCTACCTCTCAACCTGTCCACCTAACTGCATCCAACTGTCGAATCCACTGGAGAGAAAGTATGTTTCTGAGTGGCCACAAGAATGACGAGTTCCATAAGCAGCTCCTTTTATTTTTTTTCTAAACAAGTGTACCTAATAAAATGTAATCCTTTTTTTTTTTTTAAGTCATAGCATTCTCTGTCTTCAAAGGCGAGAGCAACAGGTGTGCCTTAGGTGATGAATTACCAAATTACTTGGAATGTATTTGAATCTCAGAAACCAAATGACAGGCAGTCAACTTTAAAAAGAGAAGTGGAAATGACTAATTTCCACTTCTTTGAAAAGACTAATTCCAAAAGTGAGATTAGGAGAGATGTTTATTCTTTTTAGTTCTCAGGCCAGCTCTAGATCCACTGAGCCACACCAGCCAGGGCTGATGTTTATTCAAGTAGTTTTCAAACAATAAGCAGTGTGGGGAAAAAATAATTTTAAAAATCATACAGCATTAAAAAAATTAATCAAAACCTTGTAATTCCTACTTTCAACTTGCCATGTTCTACAATTTCTCTTCTGTTCTGGAGTATATTTAAGAACTCTATTTTTATGAAGCAACTAGTGTAAAACTGACTTTTAAAGGCAGTTTCTCAAAACTGGCACCTGATTTATTATTAATACTTAAACCTCTGTACAGCGCTTGTCCCGTTCCCCGTTACCACAGCCAGAGAAAAAGCCCTCCCTCCTAACTTGGAAACTGCAACATTTTTCCTTTTCTATTAACTAATTATAATCCTGACTTGACATCACGTCACCACCTTTGGGGGAAGCAGTGTTCCGAGGTGAAATGCTGACGAAAACAGGGTAGACTCCAGAGAAAGCACCAAGGCCCCGAGGAGGGAGGGGCCTCCGGGATGCTTGGTGTTTGAAAATCGAACCTCCAGAGACGGGCTGTGCAAAGAGCACCTTCAGACCACGAGGGGGGCAGTTTTATAAAATAAGAAACCACACACACCGGAAGTATAGATAACTAGTCTGAGATCTAGACTGTTAAGTACTAACTTCGATGTCAGAGCTCGTAAGGGGATAAAAAGTTTTTATGAGAAAAGTGATCGTGGGTGAAAGACACACTGTCTGGAAAGTAGTGGGGATTGTCATGTGGGTAGCACAAGTGGCCTATAAGGGGCCCATAAGGAAAGTGACACTTTCTCAGTTAATTTGATTGAGAGTAATATAGTAAGGAAATAATAATAATAATAATAATAATAATAATAATAATAATAATAATATAGGGAAACCTAATTTTCTTGTTTTCTCTTCAGTAGTGCTGAATAAAAACTATGTTAAACTTTGTCTTCTCCATAGGTCCAAAGTCTGGCAGTGAGTTGGAAACTTACAAAAATGGCTGGAAAACAGAAATTCCAAAGACCAAAAGACAGATGGCATGATACAATGCTACTATCCCAGCCTATTAGAACAAGCAAATTAAAATTAAGTCAGAGGTTCTCAACAAGTGTGCTCAGAGCCATTCACAGGTGTGCTCCCAAATTTTGACTAATGTGTAAACAAAATTACATGTTGCTTCAACTGAGGTGTGAGAGTCATCAGCACTGATCTGTTCTTTCCAGACCACAGGAGAACCGCCACACCCTCCCGTGCTGGTGGTAGGGCCGTGGAGGGGGATGAAAGGGAGGGACGTGCATCGCCACTGGGGGGCGCATGTACTTGCTCATTCCTCCCAGAGCGACCTCCCAGGGCCTTGACCATCAGAAAGGTTCAGGACAGTGGCTATTCCATCAGCCTAGATCCCTGCGTGTCTGCTCCAAAGCAAACAGACAATAAGCAATGTGTGAGAGAGGTTAATTTTGTTTTAAAGCCATGAGAGTTGAGGGTTTTTGTCACTACAAGGTAAGACAGCTTTCCTGACTGGAACAAAAAGAGACACGCTGAGAGACTATTAATAGTCCACCAGGCTAGGCTGCTGAGCTGGGGCTCCTGCAACCCGGCAAGCAGAGCTGGGTTCTCTGTGCTAATAGGAGGTAAGAAAGTGTATTATAACATGAAATTCAGCGCCAAAGAAGTCTCTACTTTTATTAAAACATTGAGTGCTTTCCCTTAGGTCTGTACGCGAGTCCTTTGGTCAGAAGTATAAACAATGCTAAAGGCTGGCCAGGTTCACCATGCTGTAAATGATTTCAACTTCATATGCAATTTAAGTCCCTTCAAACAAAGCACCAGAAAGTCTAATATTTTAACAAGTACTCCTAACCCAAAGGCTGAAAAGAAGTTTTAAATCGGAGATCGCTGCTAGGCCTTACACAACAGCCTGACTACCACTAGGGGGAGCCATCTGCTCTGTCTTCTGCCTAAGCTGGCTCAACAAAAGGACCGTGGGAACTTTCCAGCTCCACCAGGGAGAAATTCATTCTGACCTCACCACTTCTTTTCTAAACGTGAAACGTTGCGGGTGGCAGGCCACAGAGCACTCTGAAGCGCACGCTCTCAGGCTCCCCGGAAAGTTTTGTTGGTAGGTCTGAAGTGGTGTTAAAAAATGGACATTTTTTTAAAAGTCCCCAGATGCTTCTGGTGCAGAGCGGGGTCTGCTGCCACTGGTGCAGAGACTTCCAAGAACTGGCACATTTTCAAGCAAAAGTTTTGTCCTCTACAGGCCATTTTAGGCAAGGATCAAGATGTAAGAAACCCAGCTGGATTAAAAAAAAAATCTCCTAAGAAGAGAATTTCAACAAAACACTTAGTAGTAATAATAATAATAATAATAATCACAGAAAAGAGTTATCTTCAAATTTAAATTTATTAAGACATTCAGCTATGCCTGTCAGTCTACATCCAATTCTGCTACTAAAAATAAAATGAAGTCACATCCCACGTTAGGAATACCGAGTCTGAAAAACACTTTTTTGAGCCAAGCCTATTGTATAAATAAATGACTAATTTCTTTTCATATCAAAATTCCCATAAAAAATTACATTCCCCCCTCTCCAGTTCTAACTTGTAGCCATGATGAGTGTAAAAATTTAAATATGACACATCCTTGTCAAAGAAAAGGTGCAAAGTCTATTAACAGGTTTAAAAGTGGCATTTGCAGAGTGTGATCATACAATAATGTACTCATTCCCCAAGTGCAAATATTGCCATAATTTAACACTGTTTCGATTCAGTTGCGAGAATTAAACATTACACAGGATTGAAAAGTACACTAGGGCCTTTATCAGTGTCCTAAAGCCCCTCCCACTTTGGTCTCCTACACTAATGTGGATCCAAAGTGTTCACTAGAGTTTTAGTTTACTTCACACAGCCAACAGAGTATACAATATATTAACAAAAGTTTCATATACACAAAATATTGAAGACTCC